CAACAACAACGGCAACAACAACGGCAACAACAACGGCAACAACAACGGCAACAACAAGCAACGGCAACAACGGCAACAACAACAACGACAAAAGAAGCAACAACAACAACAACGGCAACAATAACAACAAAAGAAGCAACAACAACTACCAGCAACAACAACAGCAACAACAACAACAACAACAACAACAACAACAACAACAACAACAACAACAACAACAACAACAACAACAACAACAACAACAACAAAAGAAGCAACAGCAGTGACAGCAACAACAACAACAACAACAACAACAACAACAACAACAACAACAAAAGAAGCAACAGCAGTGACAGCAACAACAACAACAACAGCAACAATAACAACAACAACAAAAGAAGCAACAACAACAACAGCAACAATGACAACAACAGCAACAATAACAACAACAAAACAACAACAGATGCAGCAACAACAGAGACATCAGCATGGAACACATCATAACCACTGATAAAATATAAAAATAGTGAGATTGATTTCTAAATAAAAAATTATTTAATTGTGATTATGTCTTTTTATGTACAGTTTTCTCACGCCATGGTTTCCGCTGCTATCAGATCGTCCTGATTGGATGGTTGGACTTCATCTTATCATATCACTCTGTTTCTTTGATTCGCTTCTTACTTTTGGTAATATAACCTTTACTTAATGACATTCATCATTTCATTTCATTTCATCTATTTTACCGTCTACTACACGCGAAAAATCTCACTGCTTGTCAACAAGATGTGTTGGCACTGCTTGTTCCCAGTTGTTGACAAGTCTGGAACAAGTTGTTATCATCTTGTTACAAGGTTGGTGAGGCCAACAGACTCGCAACAAGTTGATGCCAACAAGTCTGATATCATCTGCACGTCACAAGTTGATGACAAGTTGATGACAACAAGCTCGTAGCAACTTGTTACGAACAGCCTGTATTAGTCTTGTTGGAACAACTTGTAGCAAGTCTGTTACCGTCATCAACCTTGTAACAAGATGATAACAACTTGTTCCAGACTTGTCACAACAACTGGGAACAAGCAGTGCCAACACATCCTGATATCGGCTTCACAACAACCTTAATGTTACAACTTGTTCATTGTGTAAATAACTTTATAAAATAACATGTATATAACGCGTATTCTGATTGGTCGAAAGCCGTGTTTGGATCAGGCCATCCAAACACGGAAGACTACCGTGTTGTTGTTATTTTATAAAACAATTACTTTATGGTTTCCGTGTTT